TTTTTTATTGTATATATATATATATATTTTATATATATATATATATATATATATATATATATATATATGAAAGATTGTTTTTCAGTAAACGGTCAGTGAGAGGTGCTTTACCTTCACAAAATGTTGATTATCAACCTCAGGAAGTCAAACTAAATATTATATGAACTATAAAAAATAAAGATAAAATAAACAAAATTGTGAAATACCGTAAAAAAAAAAAAAAGAATGAATGAATGAAGAGTTGCAAATTTAGCCGTGGATATTTATATATTTTTACTGGAATCCCAGACAAAAGTTCAAGGTAACAATATCTTGTATGAACAATGTCCTTTATCAGAAACATCCTCTATATGAACAATGCATTTTATTTTGAAAAATGATATCTACGGATATTGTGCAAAGAAACATGGTTATTTATGGAATAAAACAATCCAGTAGATAATGGCAAGTCATGTTCTTGACATTTCACCCGAATGCTGAATGTTGGCCAAAAGAGACATCAAAGTCCTCAACATGAGACAGAATCCACTCAGTAACAACAGTTACACTTTCAGAAAAAAAGGTACAAAAGCTGTCACTGGGACAGACCCTTTCAAAAGATACACCTTTGTACCTTCTTTACCACTAAGGGGTGTATTTTAGTACCATAATGATATTGTACTTAAAAGTGTACGTACCTCCCTATTAGTACCTTTTGCAAAAGGTACCGCCCCAGTGACAGCTTTTGTACCTTTTTTTCTGAGAGTGTATGGACAACTCTTGCCGACACTCTTTAAAGGTGAGATCAGTAAACAATAATAAATCTGTCATCAGAATCACCATGAAAAGACTGCTAAGGGAGCAGCTGAAATGTGAACAAAGTTTGTCGGTCATGGTTGTTGAAGAAAGTGTGAACAGTGCTAAACACTGGAATATTTTTCTCTCGGTTTTACTGACAGTATTCCGATTGGTTATTCCAAAAGTGTAGCATATAAAATGTTTGCAAGCACACACCATGTTTGGTGTCATTTGTAGTCCGTCTACTCCTACTCCAAGAATATGATAGGGTGACCATAAGTGCCATTTTCCCAGGACGCGTCCTGGCCAGGATTTCTATATTGCCTAAAATATCTAGGTTTTGGCTTTGTTTGAGTGTGCAGACCGATCGGTGTATGACATCAAAGTACGGTTCCTTATGCTTTCAAAATGCTCTCGAGGTATTTTGATGTCATACACCGATCGGTCTGCACACGCAAACAAAGCCAAAACCTAGATATTTTAGGCAATATAGAAATCCTGGCCAGGATGCGTCCTGGGAAAATGGCACGTATGGTCACCCTAGAATATGAGGCAAGCTTACACAGCGTCTTGTAGCTTATCCAGAGCCACCAGCCCTGACACCTTCATGTAAAGAAACTGTCGTCGACAGACACAGTTGAATAAACCTGTTAAATGATACACACAGACCATGTTAACATTGCTCTCTACAGTTCTGTTCTTATAGAGGAATGTCTAGTGTAAACCAACTGAAGGCCCTGTGCACACTTCGCTCTCAGAAGACTCAGTCTGTGTTAATGCACCCCTGACATGAGGAAAAGCAGAGCCGAATGGAAAAACGCCAAGGGTTCATGTTTGTGTTGATACAGACAAGATATAGGATAGTTTTAGCGTACACAAACTGTGGCAGCAAATGCTTTTGATTTGACTCAGGTCTCTCAGATAATGACTAAAGCAGTAACAGGGAAAACACAACACATATGTCACGTTTACTTATGGAAATAATGCTTGGTAGGTGAATCTCAGTTTAATAATATTCCACCCCCAAATCATATATAGCGATTTTAACAATACAGATTGTGTCAAAGCAACTGAACAGCATTAATTAGGAAAATAGTGTGTCAATAATGCAAAATGACAATAGTAAACACTCATTTTTCAGTTAAAGACAGTTCATCATTAAATTCAGTGATGTCAACATCCAGCTCAGTTTAAATAGTATCTTTGCAATCATTTGCAATCAAGTCAACGATATCGCTGGAAATGAAGTGTCCCCAACTAAGCAAGCCAGAGGCAACAGCGGCAAGGAACCAAAACTCCATCGGTGACAGAATGGAGAAAAAACCTTGGGAGAAACCAGGCTCAGTCGGGGGGCCAGTTCTCCTCTGACCAGACGAACCAGCAGTTCAATTCCAGGCTGCAGCAAAGTCACATTGTGCAGAGGACTCATCTGGTTCCTGTGGTCTTGTCCCGGTGGCCGTCTGAGACAAGGTCCACTGTAATGTGGGGAAAAAAACTATAATAAGTAAAGGAAATCATCCTGTCAAGACCCTTTTTTTAAATTCAAATACTAAATTCAGTACAACAAATACTTCTAGTCTACTTCCAGTAGTATTTATCCACATAAGACTGTGAAATTGTTATGAAAATAATAATAACCAAAAAATGAACGGTCTGAATAACAGTAATTGAGAATGCTAGTACTATTACTACTACTATTATTATTATTATTATTAAGTAATTCAAACAATAATAATTTCACCTTTTTTAATGCAATATGATCCAGACACTATCACATTTATTTATTTATAAATAAATAAATGAAGAGACATTTATTTTAATGTCTCATCCTACTCAGTCAGTCACGTTTTATAAAATCAAACAAATCCTATTGAATCTGCTTCCATCTAGGGGTCGTGTGTAATAACTACAATTAGTTTGTTTTGTTTTTGTTTTTCGTCATTTTACGCCAGTATACATTTCTTTACGGTAAGTGTCCAGTAGTAGCAGGCATGGCGACTGCAGCAGCAGCATATGAAAGTGATCAATGTAGAGAAGATGGAGATACACCGAGGCAGAGTTCATCTAACGAACCAAACACAGAACCGAAATCGGTGTGTCTCATAGTTTTAGGCATGGCAGGGTCAGGAAAAACAACTTTTGTGCAGGTAAGACTGACTGACTGTAACACAGCAGTAAAATGATATCACAATTTTCTAATTCAATAACATTCACTTTATTATAATAAGATTAATTCTGTATAGAGTAATTAATTATAGAGTAATTAACAGAATAAGTAATTCTGATAAAAAAATCTAATTATGACTGATCATAAAGAAATCCCAAACACATTAACTGTAATTATATTATTGTTTATAATTACAATAATAATAATTGTTTACATAATAATTAATATAATATATATAATTTCTTGTTCCACCAGAGGCTCACAGTTTACCTGCACTCCAAGAAAAGTCCTCCATATGTTATCAATCTAGATCCTGCAGTTCATGAGGTCCCTTTCCCAGCCAACATTGGTACGTTATGTCCCTGTTACTATTTTTCCAGTAAAAGAGCTGTGTTACACGCTGCATGAAAGGTAAATTAAAAAAATCCATAATAGGGGCATTTTAAAAACAAATTTAAAAATCCAAATTAATTTAATCCATAATTTTAGTGATTTTACAAGTTGCTCTTGCCAGTTTACGCATGTTTTTTGTGTTTGTGAGAATAAAATAAAAATATAAAATTCAAAATCTAAGATAAAAGTGATTTTAAAACCCAACTGAGTTGCAGTGGCGGAGCTTTTATGCAGGGGGTGGCCAAGGCTAATTCAGGGGGTCCATAGACCATGACAGAAAATCAGTGTATAACTCCAACCTGGCATAAAAAAAGCATGAATAAATCCTACAATTGCTGATTACTTTACATTCCCCCACATTAGCTATACATTCCTACCGTAACTTCAAATGTTAGTATTTTGGAACTTATTTCTCCTATTTCTGTCATCTGATTAACCAGCGGTTGGAGCCAAAGATCTAACATTAACATATGCAGTGAATTTTGTAAATGTTGCTCAGGAATCCTAAAACTTCAGCTTACTTCAAACAGGGCTGCCAACTTATGAGTTCAGCCTGGAGTGAGAATTATTCCGGAATAATTAACACGCTTGCGATTAAATGTTATTTTTTTTCTCAATTTTTCCAAACTAAACTATACAGGGAGCCCTATTGTTAAGGTTAAAAGTAACAATTGATTTGTATACAAGTTCATATTAGGCCATTTTTATAATAATGTTATATCTATATATTTTTATTAATTATAATACAAGAGTTATTATATGAGGAAAATGTCATAAATGTATTTTTTGCAAAATTCTCCTCTCTAGTGTACATTTTTCTTGCTAGTTTATGGACACTGAATGGATTTTCTGAGGTTATGGGAGAATGTTTTCAAGCTGCTGTCTTTCCGCGGTTGAACACTCATTCACATGAGACACTATACATTCAGTAGTGTATCTTTCAACACACCCTCAGATGTTCATTCATGTTTATTTCATGCTAATTGAAGCGCTCATGAACTGTCACGCCACTAAAGAGCTCCAAAATTCATAATAAAAGAGACTTTGTTTCCTATTATCAAAAATAACCTGTTCTGTCTTGTCTCTCAGCGTGTTGTCTGTGTCCTCTTTGCTCTGCAGTGTGTTTCACTCGGTAGGTAGAAAATGAAATCTACATTATATATAATAAAGCATTATTATTATTAGCATTATATTATATTTAATAAAGCATATTACATTTTGAGGTGGCACCCAGGGTGGCCAATCAGACCCTGGACACCCCTCTGGCTCTGCCACTGCTGAGTTAGCCAATAATTATGGACAGATTTGGAAAATAATGTTTATGAGTCTTGAAGTTTTGAGAACATTTTTGAAGTCCAGAGTAGTTTGACTGCACTGCCTTTATGCCAGCACAATCTGCTTTTGATAGAACAGATTGGGCACTGGAACCAGCACCGTGTGAGTTTCGCTCAGGGTTATTTTACTGATTAAAAAACTGGACAAAAAGACATCTTTGGTTTTTAATATTGTGGATACATGTTCATGATTGGTGAGCATCTTGTTGATTACATTAATGTCAAAGATCAAGTCTTATTGTGTTTTCCTTACAGATATCAGAGACACTGTCAATTACAAGGAAGTCATGAAACATTATCCTTTCAGTGTGAAATTATGTGTCTTGTGCTGCGAATCATAATTATCATGCATATTGCCACCAGGCGTGAAATGTAATTTGGATAGTTTGACTAAACATGAACCTTCACTTTACAACAGAATTAAGCTTCTTCAAAGCCCACTGGCATGGAAAACTTGAAATATCAGGGAATTGTAAGATTATGATTTCCAGGCCTGGACAAGTTACATATATTAAAATCTTAAAAATGCATGGAAATTTCCATAGTGAGTTTCTATTATTATTATTTTTATAATGTTTTAAGTAATGCAGTTATGCTCAGCTTTCATATTATTTTAGATAGACATTACTTTTAGTGAGTTAATTCTCTATGAAATCATTTTTTAAAAGCCTTATCCAGTGAATCACAAATGACTGAAAACTGGTTTAACTGAATTTCATCTGAGCAGATTGTCTTTGACTCTCATACAGATATGGTTTAGGTCCAAATGGAGGAATCGTCACATCTCTCAATCTGTTTTCAACACGATTTGATCAGGTATTGCACTTGAAAAATCCAATAGATGTCACTGTTTTACACTTTTACGTTCACATACTTCTGTTTTAACTTGCGCTTTCTGTCTCTCCTCTGTTAGGTCATGAAGTTTATTGAGAAAAAGCAAAGTAACCACCAGTAAGTTTGGGTTCAGTAGATTTGGTGATATCCATATATTTTGCTCATTGCTACATTGCTATAGTCTCATGCATGAAATATTCTTGTTTGCAGATATGTTTTGATTGACACTCCTGGGCAAATAGAGGTGTTCACATGGTCTGCATCTGGAACCATCATAACTGAAGCACTGGTATGTGACTGTTACTCTTAGCCGTGATTATTTATACTCCGGATTTGCATTGCTTCATTTGGAGTATAAAACATTATTAAGTTTCCTTTCTAGGCCTCTTCTTTTCCCTGTGTGGTTATTTATGTGATGGACACATCTCGAAGTGTAAATCCAGTCACCTTTATGTCCAACATGCTCTACGCCTGCAGGTCAGTGTCTGAGACTTTTTTATTTTTTAGTTTTTTATTTCTTGTTTAAGCAATATTTTGGAAATAAAAACTGCACAAAACATTTTTTTATGTTGTTTTCAAGTTGAAGTTTTCAACTTCTTAGTGTTACATTCACACTGATGAATTCACACTGACATTCACACTGACAAATATCTTGTTTTTTTTTCTACAGCACTGGAACCATCATAACTGAAGCACTGGTATGTGACTGTTACTCTTAGCCGTGATTATTTATACTCCGGATTTGCATTGCTTCATTTGGAGTTTAAAACATTATAAAGTTTCCTTTCTAGGCCTCTTCTTTTCCCTGTGTGGTTATTTATGTGATGGACACATCTCGAAGTGTAAATCCAGTCACCTTTATGTCCAACATGCTCTACGCCTGCAGGTCAGTGTCTGAGACTTTTTTATTTTTTAGTTTTTTATTTCTTGTTTAAGCAATATTTTGGAAATAAAAACTGCACAAAACATTTTTTTTATGTTGTTTTCAAGTTGAAGTTTTCAACTTCTTAGTGTTACATTCACACTGATGAATTCACACTGACAAATATCTTGTTTTTTTTTCTACAGCATTCTCTACAAGACCAAGCTACCTTTCATAGTCGTCATGAACAAGGTAAAAATAATACTGTCAAAACTGTCATGCTCATTTTTAATGGTTAACTGATGTATACATTTGATGATACATACTGTACAAGCAAGTTAGATGTATGCAGTATTTCTTAAATAAATTAAGTTATTTTATTCATATTAATTTTAAAACAATATAAATAAAAAACAATTATAAATAAATATTACAAAAGATATTTAATAGGCAAATTATGTTTATTGGTATTTATTATTCACATATGAAATGTATTTATTATACTATTTATATTATTATTGAATTTATACGAATACAGTTTCTGTTCAAAAGATGAAACGGCAGATATTATCCTTTAATAAGGCCTTTTGTGTATAATGCAATCTCATCTCCTATGAGCATGTTTTTAGTTATAAATGGAACAAATCAGTGTAAGCCATTTATTTCATCATGTTAAACTGTTCTACACAACATGTATTTTTCTGTATCTTTATCAGACCGACATCATTGATCACAGTTTTGCGGTGGAGTGGATGGGTCATACATGAAAAAAAATATACCGTCATGTACTGTGAAACCGGTATAATTTTGAAAAATACCGTGATATAAATGTTTGGTCATACCGCCCAGCACTAACGTAATCTATTACATTACACATTTTAGGTACTGTAATCAGACTACTTTTTGATTACTTTTAGATTACTTTTGACTAAACTCATTTATCACATTGATTTAAATAGGATGATCTTGTACCATAATGATGTAAAAATACAAAGAGTAAGAAAATATATTCCATTAATTGTAATTATCAACATGAAGTGCATTAAACATTATATTACATCAAGGTTTCCCAAACTGGGGTTCGTAAAGGAACTGCAGGGGATTCTTGAATTTAATGAAAAGTTAACAATTAATTAAATCATAAAAATGTAAAATTACAATAAATCATTTTAAAATAACAATCAAAATAAAACACAGATTATATTTTTTATTTGTTTACCTGCATGGCATGTGACCATTAACCAACGTCAGAGAAACGTGAACATGCAAATATGATACTTAATTATTAAAATATTTATTTTAAAATCTCAGGGCTGCTTCAAGTAAATATATGGTGAAAGAGGTTCAAATGACAAAAAGTTTGGGAATGTCTGCATTACGAGTAAATAAGAAATAATGTGAATTAATGCATTTTAATGTGTTTGAAAGACAAAAGCCTTCCAAAGACATAGTAATTAAATAACCAACTGAGTAATAGTTCAAATAAAAATAAATGTGTTTGTGTGCATTAGTAGCTGATGCAATGTTGAAAACACTTCTTAAAACTAAAATGATTTTTATAAATCCAGTTGTCAAGTGCTGTGTCTTCCACAAAACTGGACTTTCTGAATGTATATTAGCGATAGGATATTTTAGAAAGGAACATTTCAAAGATGAAAAACGGAATTAGGGAGAATCAATAAATTATGAATAATTTATTGCTATTGTGTGAATAATATGTAATCAATAAAAAAGTTACTGTAGTCTGATTACGAGTATTTTAAAATGTAATTTACTCTAATTGCAAGTACTTAATTTTTGGAATCTGATTACATAATCCAGATTACATGTAATCAGTTACTTCCCAGCTCTGACTGCATTATGTTCTAAATGGTTGCTAGATAGTTGCTTAATGGCCCAAGCTGAAGAGCCCAGCTTTAAGTCTTCATGATATTCTAGATATGTAAATCTAATTGCTTAGAAAACATATAATACTTAGAGTTACATGTTTGTTCAGCAGGTTTGTTCACAGCTAGCACCAGCAATAAGTGTCTGAAATGTATTGTTGGGCTCAGTTGTTATCAGTCTTGTGTGACAGGTTGTTTTTTCTCTCAGTCAAGTGCCTTTGCAGTAGCGTTACAGACTCTCTTTGTGTCCTGTAGGTTGTCGGTGTGTCTGCAGTCACGGGTTCTGGGCTTGATGAACTGTTTGTACAGGTTGCAGATGCTGCTAAAGAGTATGAAACGTACGTACACTGTGTAATAAAGAAATTCAAACTCAGACTATAGCACCTCAATAGCTTTAGGCTGTCTACCAGTGTTTTTATTGTTGACTACTACTAAAAATCTATTTAAATAGTTTTCATTAATTGAAATGAAGCTCAAATAAAATATAAATATTACATTAAATTTGAAATGTTGTCTTGGCAACTAACTAAAATATGTTTAATTCATTTGAGGCACTACAGTTACTAAACAGAAATATGTATTTTTTTAATTAAAAAACGCATAACAAAATGACTAAATTGAAAAATATAAAAATAAAAGCTAATTCAAAATGTTAGTAAACACTATAATAGTATATAAATAATACTAAAATACCACTGCTGTCTACACTGAAAACAGAATATTAGAATATTGAATTAATTTTACAACTGTATATGGTTTTTTTAAACTAGCTGGATTTGATGTAATGTCAAAAGACACATTTTAATAGCACTTCTAGCTTAGTTTATTATAATGCTAATAGGAGCAGTTTCGTTTTAATTTGAATGATAGTGATGTATGTGTTGTTAAGGGCAATATGCATATATGTTTAAAGATAAATTAATGCTTTTCTGCAAACAGTTGATGAGTATTACTGTCTTGCAGAGAGTATCGTCCTGAATATGAACGTCTGCACAGAGAGTTGGTGAGTAATCATTGATGTGGGCTGATGTACTAGTCATAAATCAACTGGCCATTCCACAAATATCCATTATCATTTATTAAACTATATATTTTTTGTTGGCGCTTTTATTATTTTTCATTTGAAAGGCAAATAAAAATGTCATGTTTCATGAGAAAAGGTCAAGCCTGACTGTTATTAATGCGTGTATCTCATACTCAGGCTGAAGCTCAGAGTCAGAAACAACAGGAGCAGTTGGAACGCCTTCGGAAGGACATGGGAGCAGTTCCCATGGAAACTGCAGTTCCTACTGGTACATTCATTCAGAACGGTCACGTCTCTGTTCATTCAAAAACAAAAAAAAGATATTTCAAAGTCATTAATCAACTTTGAATTCTTCATGTATAACGTAAAATCTGATCTTTAAATGAAAACAAAAACGACTTTCAAACATCTTATAAATTTGTTTCGAAACGCGAGTGAGGTAAGATGTATGGTAACACTACTGCTCAATAGTTTAGGGTTGGTAAGAGTTTTTTGTTTCTTCTGCTTACCAAGGCTGCATTCATTTGATCAAAAATACAGTAAAAAAAAAACTAATATTGTGAAATATGATTACAGTTTAAAATAACTTTTCTTTTTGAATATATTTTAAAATGTAATTTATTCCTCAGATGCAAAGTTGAATTTCAGCATCATTACGCCAGTCTTCAGTGTCACATGATCCTTCAGAAATCATTCTAATATGCTGCTCAAGAAACATTGCATATTATTATCAATGTTGAAAAAGGTTGTGCTGCTTAATATTTTTGTAATACATTTTATTCAGGATTCTTTGATGAATAGAAAGTTCAAAAGAACAGCATTTATTTGAAATTGTGTAACGTTATGCTATAAATGTATTTAATGTCACTTTTGATCAAATAAACTTACTGGCCCCAAAACTTTTGAACAATAGTGTATATTAGGGCTGTCAAAATGGCTGAAAAACTAAATTCGAATTTTGTGCTTAAATATTATCCAAATTCGAATTATATTTTAATTTAAAATGCATAATTTCAGTTAGGGTATAGAAAAGCTTTTGGCTTTTCCCCTGAGGCCACAAGAGGGTGCATCGAGCATAAGATAACATAATAAAATAATGTTTATAAACCAATTAGAATTAATTAAGTTGCTTAAACAACTATAAACAAAACAGCATCATGTATTCATAGTTTAATACAAAAGGCTAAAAGCCAATCACACAGAGTACATTTTTCATTTAAAAACACAAATTGCAGTGGGATGGGGGGGGGGGGGGGCCCCCTGTCGTCTCTGGATAT